CCTGATCAATCTTCTTTTCAGCTTCGCTGGTCATATGCAGAACTTTCATGTCAGCTGTGCGTTTGGCAATCACTTCTTCAAAAGCGGCATTTTGGGCAGCGGCTGCAGCGGCTGCAAGTGCATGTGCCTTTGCACTCTGGACCGATGAAGATGTTGACTTCTGTGATCGTCCGGAAGTACTAGGAAGTCTAGAAAAGCTAGACTGAGTCTCGAGGGCTATTTGGTACAATCTGTTGGCTCCCTGGGAAATAATGCAGTTTGCATAGTTGGCATTCTCGAGGAAAGTCATTTTCATACGGAGAGCGTCCTCTATGAATTCACCTGTCTGATCCTCTCTGTACAGTTGATCCAGCTTAGACCACAACTCAGTATACGATTGCAGTGCAGACCGTGCACTGGAAAGGTTGTGAAGAATGACGGCTTGTTCTTCGGGGGCATCACTGAGGCTTTTGAGATTTTGTAAGGTTTTTCTCCAGTTCTGATGCAGGGTTTTCTCGGTTGTGATGATGTTATTGTACAGAGCTTTAGCTGTAGGGTGTCTTTCCCTCTGGGGTCGATCATGAACATGTACGTCCTCCATGAGTGGGTCCTGGTGTCGGGTTTCAGGTTCAGGGGAAACGAGGTCAGTTTCGAGGTCAGTTTCGAGGGCATCTGCCATGATGGGGATTGAGAATGTGCCTTGTGACGAACGGGAATTACTGAGGAGTAATTTGTAGCTTGTTCTTCACAGTAATTTCACTGTACTGGTTTCGGTATTAGGTGTAGCCCCGGGGAGGCGATAACATAAACTCCACCAGCTAGTGTCAACCACGATTAAGAATGCAAAATGGCCGAAGGTCAGGGCTTCAGATTCCACTTGATCTTTAATGCGCGGTGAACTGTTAACAAGATAAAAACGATACAAAACTACTAAATATCTGGCAAAAGTCCAAAACATGAACAGGTTCGAGGAAAATACTGTAAAGTTCGGTCTACATGAAGTAAACAGAGATAAACTGGGAAAGTCAATCTAAAAAACACTCAAATAGTGAATACGGGCTGTAATCCCCACTACAGAGTAACGTTCAGCAACTTCTCATTCTAAGGTTAAATGTAACGATAGCTTAACATCAAAAACCCTATCAATGTGGTAGAGAAATATAAGTAAATTATCTCAGGCACAAGAAAATCTAATGACTCATTAATCAAACAAAGGCTCAGGGTGTCTATAATATCACTTGAAGTATCCATGAGTAGTCAAAAGTTCTAAATACTTGAGTGAATTAAGGCAAAATTACATGTACGTATATGTAATCAAAGAAAGTCAGATTTCTTGGTTCAGAAAATCACTAGAAAATCACTTACATTACTGTGGTTCTTGAGAGTCAAATTAAAAGGCTTAAAAGTACATCTCAGGAGGGTCTAACTTCTCAAAGGTTGTAAAAACTATCAGCTGTAGGTCTTAAACTCTAGAAATGCTTGAACTAAAACAAAGGTGTCGGGAATGCAAGCAGCATGGTATTTGATCTGGCTGTTCCTGTGTAAGTCGAACAGCGCCCTCAAGTGATGGGACTGGAGGAAAGGGCGCCATCGTGTGGCAGGGTTGTATAAGGGAACAATGACCTTCACAGACATAGTTAGCCCAGAAAACCGAACAAATTAGGTCCACAACGAAACCGGTCCAGTTTGTTCGAACGTAACGTGGACAGGTTTCGCCCTCTCTGGAAAACAGGTTTTAAGGCATTTTAGGTCATCTTTCGCAAAATGAAGGGGAACAAATTAAAGAAAATAAAAAGGCAAGAAAATAAAATAAAATGCAACAAAATATAGTAAAATGAATTCAGTGTTTGGAAATTAAAGACAAAAATGTGATATTACATTTAAAGTAAATAAAATAAATAAAATATATAAAATAAATAAAATATAATATAAAATAGCATAAGAAAACATGTCGAAATAAAGGAATATATGTAGTTTATTGTTTACATTCCATGCCATGCGTATACACAAACGCGAGCCAACGCAAATGCATGAAGCTTGCACACCGGACCGCATTGCACATCTTTTTTGCATTAAAGCTGTGTCGATGAACGAGGATGAATTTTCAAAGCTGCCCTTGGACCAAAGCTGCCCTTGGACCAAGGCTGCCCTCGGACCAAAGCTGCCCTTGGAAAATTTGCCAAATCCAAAGCTGCCCTTGGACCAAACGATTGGTCCAAGAGCAGTTTGCCCAGCTGCCCATGGATCAAAGACACAACAATATAATTGATGACCGCTGACGCCCTGCGTGCCCATAATGCGCTCGCGTGCAATCCTCGAAATGCCCGCGCAGTACGCCGTGAATAGCCATTCAGCGTCATTTACGTCATCATCACAGCCAGAGGTTAGTGTAAGGAACGAGCACGCGCCCCTGGAGTCGAGGCTGATAATGCAGATTGTCAAGTGTGTGCACAATACACGCACATGAGAAACTTTTTTCTGGGCCAGTACCAGGCCGATTTCGCCGACAATTCTTTGATGTCTTATTCGGTAACAAGATGCAATCCACCTTAGTATAGTAGCACCTGGCAAGTGTCGGTTTACCCGCGTTCTTGGTTGATTTTTCAAAAGATCGGATTTGTTTTTGTTTGTTTTTTCCAAATTGATTGTTTTTCTTCACAAACATGAAGTATTATTTCCTAATATTTCCATGAATTAAAAAACATAACCTGATTATATTTTCCAGCGCGTGCAGCGGCGTGCACAATCACGCAATGTTTTTTGTCTTAGCCAGTACCATGCCGGTTCGGCCGTCAATCCATTGATGTCGGCATCCTTTGTCGGTCGCTCATCTCTGATAAAAAATGCCATCCATACTACAGCTGCTTCATATAAAAGCAATTACATGTACAAAGACTTCACTTAAGGAGATGCGGCGATTACAAACACCAGTTGATCTAACAAGGTCTGGCAACTGTTACCTCGTTCTCGCCGTCGATCTTCAAAAGATTGGGATTTTTTTGTTGCTCTCACGCAACTTGATTTTTTAAAAAATTGGATTACGGTTTACCGAACCGAAAGAAAGGAAAGGTGTAACCGTTTGAACGGTTGGTTAACCGTGTAACCGTTTCAAAGCTGCAGGCTTAGAAAGATTGGTTTGTATATTAGATTTCTGTGCTTAATAGTAGTCTTTGATGATGTCTAAGCAATTCAACTGTATACCTAAAGAAAATATTTAAATTTCAATGAAAATAAGGCTTTTGTGAAGAGCAGTTAATTACAAACTCATCTTTAACTTCGTAATACGTGTAATAAAAGCAATAAGCTTCAGATCTTGATGTTTCCATCGTTAAAGATAGCCATTTGTGCTCAACAATGACTATGATTACAGTAAGAATTGGTTTAGGAAACACCTGCATTTTGATATGGAAAAATGGCACATATGATGACTAATATAATGAACCGTTTCTAATGAAAGGCTAAATAGCAAATACATTCGAAATGTTTGTTTTGGTATCTCCGTCATTTAGCTGCCCATAACTACGTGTATTGATCTGACTGGTATTTGTGATAAAAACCCATTATAAGTCTTAATCACATAAGGCTTTCATGAAAAACAGTTGTAACTGGTAACATTCATAATTTTATAAAAACCTCGAAACGTTAAGGGGTTTCAACTTCTTTGAAATGATGTTAAACAATGCTGAAACAGTTTTAACTCGTGTACAAACGCACCGGTTTGTTTGTGAAAATCGAGGCAATATTTTCGATCCATTGTCTAATAGTGTTCAAGAATGGCATTTGCGTGTTTTATCATTTCTAAAATTTATGATTTGTTTTTTCTACAATTTTTAATGGTTTAAGGTTGTCATTTTTCGAGGCTAAAGTTGAACACTTTATCAGAGAATAGACATATTGGTCTGGCTTTTTTTTTTCTTCGAACCCCTTGTTTTGTATACAATTCCTAGTGAAGTCGACATTACGTTATTTTTCAACCCTCAACATCAACAATCAACAATCAACGTACAATGGCCCAACACAACCTCTAGTTCTTTTTTATGCAACTCATTTGCATATTGAAATATAATATAATCACTTCCTGCGTCCTTCAGAAGAATGCATATACCCAAATCTATATTTTGGAATGTTTTTAAAATTATGTACCATGTTATGCAAATGTGCCATGAACAAGTGTTTTCAACTTGTAATTCATGTTGACTTGGGACCTATTCAAGAAAGGTTATGAATAACTCAAGACGAACCATCTTTTGTATTACTGCCCATAAAATACACCTAAATCCATAAACTGTCTTGGGTGCAGATGCAAATGTTTATCACATTCTCAAGCAACATAAACCAGAAGAAACTTATTTGTCGCATGACAACTATTCAAAAAATGTGTTTAGGGTATGAATAATTCAGTTGTTAACTGTTTGTGATTTGTCACCACGAAAGGCCCGAAAATGAGGTTTATGATAGAATCAACACTTGGCTTTAAAATGAGGGGCCAAACAGCCCCATCGGCAGACTGCAGGTCTAGAATCAGGCTTTGAAATGTCATATTATTGAATTTCGTCATTAGATGGCTGTGCATGCGTTCGCTTCAATCGCAGAGCTTTGCTACCTATGCAGTTTACCTTGTAGGAACAATCAATTGTTCTTAACATATTTTCGACAACCTATTATTGATTTTATCTTCCCTTTTGTCGTGACAGGTCACATACAATTTTTGACTGCTGTATGTGCTCTGGGATATGGCGTTTTTGAACACCCGAGGGACGATACGCGTCCCCAAGGGTTTGAAAAACGCACATCCTACAGCACACCAGTGTTTTGGACCAATGAAAAACCAGGATCAGACAGTATGGCAAATTAATTGATGATCTGCCTTGCTTCTTCTCAGCTGATGCCCAGAGCATCCTTGGAGATCATCAACATTGCCCGGGAACTGACACATTCCATACATACTCAAGGATCTTTACACAAATTGGGGAAAGCCACAGCAGGATCCACTAATATTACTGAAAAGCAGAATTACACACCTTTTTACATAATGTATTTGTGTGTATGTGGAACTGCAGTAAGAGTTTCTGATTGCAGCTGATGAGCATCAAGTTAGTTAAGTCAAATAAATTTAAAAAGTCACTGCTTTAAACAGTTCGACTGAAAAAAAAATTCTTTTCAGAACAGGCTTTAAACAAATATAATTATCGTACCACTCCCCGCCACCACCTCCTCAGTATCTGGTTTTGCAAGTAGAGCCAACCACATATTCCCAGAAAGATTCTAACACTCACCTCGTTTTTCTCCTCCTTCATAGTAGTGTTTGTGTCTCCAGGAGTTAGTCTGTGTGAAAAAACATCAACAAAGTTGTTCGTCTATGGGCCAATATAAACCAGTTATTTCTTTGCACAAAATCAGCATTAAAAGGATATGTGCAAGGGGGCTATTTATTGCCATGCTTTTAAGAATTAATGACAAATTAATTATGAACTGTGTAAGGGGTTTGGCATATGGTCTTGTCGGTGCTGTACTTCTGGTGAAATCAAATTTCACGCAAGGTCATACTATATAGTGGAAAAACGTAATGGAAAACTTATTGACACTTAATTAATTCAACTGACCCATGATGTCACACTTTAGATGGGTACTTTCCTATGGAGTCAGTGGGGGCCCACGGTGCAATGAGCACCATAGGAAAGTGCAAATGTAAATAAAATGTTTATGTTTAAAGCCTCTTTACCATTCCGACAATCACAGCCTTGAGGTGGGATATGTTTCTCTTAACGTAGGCTTTTGGTTGTCTTTCAGTGAGGCTGATCGTAGTGAACCTGGCAATTTAACACCGTGAAAATGGGCTCACATTGCAGTTAAAACAAATCTAGGTGGTTAAAGGGGAAAACTGTATTTTCAGTGTGTTGAGATTCAGAGTGACAGGACACAAAACAAACACAAAGACACTGGTCATCAGGTGCCCTGATCAATTTGCATGTTTTACATAAAGATTGAACTTACCACGTTTTCTGAGCTGGCTGGTGTTCCTTGGCTGCCTCAAGCGCTTTGGCTGCCTGGACCCCCTCGCCTGCTTTGAGTCCCTCGCTTGCTCCGACTTCCATAACTGCTCCGACTCCCTCGCCTGCTCCGACCCCCTCGCCTGCTTTGACCCCCTCGATTGCTTTGACTTCCTCAGCTGCTCCCAATTCCTCGCCTGCTCCTACTTCCTCGCCTGGTTTGATTCCCTCGCCTGCTTTAACTCCCTTAACTGCTCTAACTTCCTCGCGTGCTTTGACTCCCTTGGTTTACTGGAGTTGTGCTCGGTGTCCTCTTGTCGAAGTGGCCTTGTTTCCTTGAACTGCCTTTTTTGTGTTTGACGGTTGGTATTCTTCAGTTTCTCTGTTTCCAAAAAAAAAAATCAGACACAGTCATAATCAAAATAAATGTAAAAGTTAATGCTGTCATTCTACGTAATATGTATCATCTTGTTCACACGGAAAAAAGAATATACGCAGCTAGATGCGCGCGTGCATGATTACATGGAGGTAAATACACAGGTTCTTCATTGACATGCATGCTCAGCAACTTTGTCTTTTTGCCTTGTGAACAAGTTGCTCATCACCAGGAAAGTGCAAACTTGAAATTCATTTGACTGATTCCATAAATTTATGTTTTGTCCAGTTAAGCGGCTGGCAGTCATCCTTACAGCAGAAGATGCAAAGAAGAATGTTTGTGACATTTCAAGACTGGCCTAGATATGATAAGGAACATAATCTTATATTGATCAAATTGTACTCTGAACGGCCAGGGATCGAGAAGTATACATGTATAGGGACACAGAAAAGTGTGATATTTATTAACAGGTGGACTGCTGAATCGTGGCAACATGTTCTTAACCCAAATTACCGGTTACTGGCTCTGGTCACAAGTCTCTCTCCTCGATGAATGGATGGCACTGCTCTGGTCCAATTGCTTGAACATTTCTTACAGTCGCACACTTCTGAATCTTCCATAATGTGGTTATCTCCAAAACAAGCACATCCTTACTTATCTGCAAACAAATTGCCAAACACCGCCGTCAAGGTTTTTAAAGACTGGACGTCTTTCAGGAAACGTTGAAATGACGTAAACTGCTCATGATAGTCATCATATCAGTTTTTGATTTTTGGTGAAAATGAATAAATATATCAATAACTTCAACCGGGTAAGGCTATACCTTCAAAAATATTAATTAAAATCTAAATGAACCTTATTGGCGAATTCGACACAAGTGCCGTTTTGCGTTTTCACGAAGGGGCGAATTCACGCACTCTATGGTATTAATGAAAGGTAGTAAATAAATACATTGCGATACAATGGCATGTATATCACGAAGGGGCGAATTCCATGCGCGTGCAATAAAACGTTTTCACGAGGGGGTGAATTTCAAGGCGCATGCGCAGTGGGTCAGAATCTGTGCGTACTTGACAAACAAAATGCATTTTAGATCGCAGTGGGGCGAATTTTGCGCATAATCACTTTTGCCTTTTCACAAAGGGGCGAATTTGCTAATTGGTCTCTTTTTTCGCTTTCACGAACAACCACCACTCTTAATTGATTAATTCTGCAAAAGTAATACCCTTTTTTTTCTCAACGTTTGCTACATTTAAGATTAGAGCTCTTCTTTCCTCTGATACCTAAATTTTGCATATTTTATGTATCTTTATTACGAATTAGCTATTACTTTTAAGGGCAGGTGCGAACGGTCTCAAAATTTCATCATATTATTAGGTTTAACAAACAACCTTGAGCACAATTTTGTTATTCTAGTAAACTTGAGCACAATTGTAACATTCAAATTGAAAGCACAAAACTAAATTTCAAAGATAAAATAGCAGTAACAGTTCGTTGTTTTAACATTTAACAACAACGCTAATCAGTAGACAGGTATGTATACTCCCCGTATTCCATCATCGCGTCCAAATGTTACAATCAATATGTCCACATGTCCACATAGGCCTACATTTAGAAACACAAGGATAATCTAACTTTTCACTTTTGTGCCTGTATTTTAGATGCGACAAAGTTTGTGATGCTTGCAGTTTTAAAGAATTTCATGGAATTGCCACCTAGATTAAACATTTGATTCGACTTGATTTCTGTGCAAGAATTGTTTCTTACCAGGATTCAGGATGGACTATTGATTCTAGACATTTTTATGTTTTATATTGTCCTGGCCACGTGGTAAACACACCCGGGGCCATCTATCGCCAGATCCTAGTATGGACCATAGTACGTCCTTCAGAGGGGGTGTCAGTCTTGTGATCCTACTGGAGGGGTTGAAAATTGGCGGGAAAACCCTGTGTGCTTGTGCACATTTACATAGGCTTGTGTACAAATGCACTATAAGCATCGGGATTATTTCGATCACCCCTGTGACCAAAATGGAATGTCAAATGGGGTTAAGTCTGTGGTTTTAACGGCTGTTTGGGGCCTGAGAGATACTCCATACATGCCAAACGTTAATCAGGGGTAAATGGGCTGGTTGTGAGGGTTGGGTGTCTCAAATTACATGTTGTCATGGAAACATTCCATACAGTACCTGGATATTAAACATTAAAGGTGCTCGCTCCAACATGTTGTCTTTTATTCAATACGAGTCATTATTTTTTACAAATGGGTTGGAACATGTTCAATTTCAATGATTTATTTTCCAGCTTTATGCTTTGTTTAATTAACGGAGAAGAAAAAAACTAGAAATATCTTTCAGAGAAACTACAACCTGATGCTTTTACTGGCGAAGAAGATTTTGTTCATGTCCACTTTGTTGTCAATGTCTTTGTGTGGCTTTTCATGCTGGGGATCGGCTAAGTAGCCACAACGGCGCACAGCAACACGTACACGGCCTACAGCTTTGGGCTCATTTTCTTTTCTGATTGATTCTGGTGATCGTCCATTCCAACATCAGTCAATGTAGCTTGTCAAACCTGTACATACAGAAATAACAATGCTAATTTTACATACATGTAGTTATGTCTATTGTCTTTTTATGGTAAATCAAATATTTTGAGCACCCTTGTTTTCCCCCTTTGTTCGTATAGGCAAATGAAGTTCACCAGATGTGTGGGGTCAACGTGGATATAAACATACTCCGAGAATGCAAAGTGCCACGGGTATCAAACTACCAAGCCACCAGAGGTAAACAAATAAGAGGTGCCACCAGATGGGGGAGAGCTTCATACCACTCAGACAAAGTTCAAGACCCATCAGGCAAGTTGAGGAGAACAACACTCCAACATGTTTATACATAACGTAAAAAAAGTATAAAATGTATACACTTAGTATGTCAACGCGTCTTTGCGCATGCGCATAAAATGTATACTTTGTTATCGGTGATGTATACATTTCCTCTTTCATTGCGCGCGCTATATAAGCTTTTGTTTTTACCGCGCTCATTACCTTTTGTCTTTTTGCTTTCTTACTGTCAACATGGTTCAAGGAATGATCTCTGGACGTCTCTCCCAAGTCAAGCGCTCCGCCGAGCTTCACAGCACCGGTTTCGCTCCCGAACCCAAAAAACATGTTAGTCCTCGGACTACTCCAACGTATACAAGACCAGCGTGATTATTTCTCGTCTCAACCCCCCATGCCAATGTCCCCGTCGCTTCCATCTTGGAAATTTGCATGGCCGAGCTTGGGGATTACCAGTACTGTGTGTACGAGCACGACCTCGCCAAGGGCGGTGTTGCTTGCAATATCAAGGGGCTTCATCTCCATCTTGTTGTCGTCAGCTCCGCCGCCTGGCGCGACGCTTGGCGGTTTCGTCAGCTCTCCAAGCGGGTCCGGGGTGCTTGCTGTGAAATGATTGGCAATACCATCCGTGACCCCAAGGGTCTCATGACTTATATGAGTATTCCTCCCCGCGAGCTCGTCTACTCTCATCTTCCCACCGAGAAGACGGACATAGATCCCATCTTCAAGATCGACCCGTCCGCCGACGAAATAGACAAAATGAAGGCTACCAAGGCGGCCAACAGAGGTACGGTGGAGAACCCCCTATATCCTCCAATGACTTCGTCACCCTTGTAATGAGATATTAGACGGCCGAGATCAAGGCGGTGAGTGTTACTCCTTTTTTCTCGGTCTTTTTTCATTTTTCCGTACTTATCTCTCTTTTTTTCTTTTTTTTTTAGCGGGTAGAAAAGCTCCATTTCGCCGCCAACTGGCGCGATCGATTTCAGAAAGCCAGACTCTTTACCCATATGTCATCATTGGAGAATGACCTCGAGACCTTAACCGCCAGCTGGGAAGCCGCCAATGACCGTGATGATCCTCGGTACCATACCGTGGACAAATCGGTATTCATCATTACCCATTGGTGCTTGCACCAGGGTATCTTGTTGAATTTTCTCATTGACGATGTGGAGAAAGTGATGAATCGGTAAGTCAGGTTACTGCCCTATCTCTTAGTGGTTTTTACTCTTTTTTATCTTTTTTTCTAACACCTAACCCATTCTTTTCCTTTGTCTCTCTTTACAGTGTTGAAGCCAAGCGTCATATCAGGTTGGGGTACAGTTACCTCCGAAGGTGAGAGTGGTGTTCCTCCCCATGGAACCGCCCCAAATTTCAACCAATGAGATTAGAAGAGCTGGAAAAAGAAATTCAGCTGCAGGAAGAGCAGCTCCGATACACAATTAAAAACTTGGCGTTGGATACGAAAATCCCGCCGAACAAAGTTGATAAACCGATTATAAATTGGAATAATGTTGAAATTCCTGGATTGCACCTCCCGGAGGTGCAGGATGATCCGGAGGTGAAATTCAATGATTTAATGGGGGAGTTGAAGGTACAAACGTCGGGTTATGCGACTGGTACCAGTCCTATGGTGCCCCTAACAACCAACACAGATACGTGATGTAGTAGCAAAGACAGACAAAAGGATCGAAACCGTGTGGCTATAAGAGGTCCTCGGGTTAAAGGTTATGAAGGGCATGTGACCGCCACACATCGTCCCGTAGTCTCAAGAGCCTGTACAGACAGGACAGAGAGATGAAATTGGATTGCATCCAATGACCGGACGTAGTGGTCTGCCGAATATATTGCTGGGTAGATTTGACGTAAAGAAGTCGATAGAAGTACGTTCGTCAGCACTTTGAAGCATGTGTAACAGCGAATGGCTGGAGCAATAATCAGGTGTGTTTTTAGCAGCTTGCTTAAAAGGAGCAGCAATGACAGTGCTTGGGCGTTGTAACCGAGAAAGCAGACATCTCCAGTATGAAGAATTGATAGACCAACTCGCAAGACCAAAGCGCAATTCAGGCCGGGACAAATGGCCGAAACATTCCTTAATGGAATTGCGAACGCGCAAACAGGGACGGAAAGAATCAAATCCTATCCTGGATTTGATGGAAGTGGAAGGGACCGTCTCGCACGGGTCCACTTTGCCTATGCAATTAATCACCAGTCAATCTGAGAGGGCATATCTAGGGGGAGACCCCAAACCCTTGACGAATCAATCAGAGCTGCATTGGCAACAGAAAACTTTGAGCGAATGGAAGCTGAGAGAGATCTATCGCCAAGAAAACCCAAATACTGTAGAGTGAGTTAAAACACGGAAAACCCATAGTTGGGACCAGCTAAACAAGCATTTCGCTCAGATGAGGATACATTCCAAGCTGTGAGTGAGGCGCTTAACCGATTGGAGGCCCTACACAATCGGAGGTGTTGACTTGTTACAATTGCAGATGATGGGGGCATTTTGCAACGAAGTGGGCATTTTGCAACGAAGTGCCCCTCCCCGAGAAATCGTTCGGGAATTACAGGGCGGTCTACCACGGGACTCGTGGAAAGACCGCTACTCCAGGAAATGGTTCACCCAGTTGTCCGCAAGAGAGGACAGAATCCAAACCAGAGTTAGAAAAACCGGAAACAAACTTGGTTCCTTTAGAGCAACCCAAAGAAGGGTTATATGTAGGGGGTGTTAAGATCTATCAGTGTACAATTTTCGGTAGACATGGGGTCTGCAGACACGATTATATCGAAGTATGTTTACTCTCAGATCCCTATGGAAAAACATCCCAAGTTAAACACAAGTCATATTCAAGCTTGTTAGGCTGGAGGTAGCCTTATGGGTAACACAATGGGCTCAGTTGAAGTTGACATAGAGATTGGCCACACAGTTGCTCTTGTTAAGGCAATAGTGACCGATTTGCCGATCCCACGAATTCTGGGCATGGACTTATCCCGACTGGAGGCGTATTAGACCTTAATGATTTATCCTTACACATCCATGGTGAAAAGATCCGTTGTATAGATCGAGGTGGGTCCTCGTTCTGTTATCGGATAGGTGTTGGACACCGCCACTACTATACCACCTGAGCACGAGGCTATAGTGCCGGGGCATGTAATGTCCAACCGAGGGTGGACCGCCAAACTAGGAATAATATAGCCAATATGGTTGAGAGCTTGGCGAAAGTGGTCTGGTGTAAGCTAGAACACTTGTAAGGACTGACCAAGAAACAGTTTGACTAAACCTATGTAGAAGCGAACGGGTTCTCCGCTGTGGGACTACTGATGGAGTCCTCACAGAAGTAAAGAAAAGTGACAAAGAAACTGAGTGCAAGCAGAACTCTGCCATGGGAGTGCATGTCCCACAACATTTCAAAAAACACTACAACAAAAGCGTTG